ACAAACGACAATTTTTGCAGCACAAACAGAGCTGAGTTAATTGACACCCATTTCGTCTGATTTGAAGAAGGGGGGGGGGCTGTTTGACCTTTGATTACCTCTAGAAACATTTCTTTATATCTTTAAAATGGTAGCAGCACAAACAAACATTTTTGCTGCACAAACGTTTGACACTAATTTTGTAATTTGAAGACGGTTGGGGGGGCAACTTCACTCAGGTTTGCAGGAGATAATAAAAAGTTTTGATCTTCTTAAACAAATATTGTTCAATATCAATACCGCCGTTGGTATCGATAATATTGATCCAAAGATCAGTCCTCCCACCTCTAGTCTTTAGCTCATGGATGTCCAGACATGAAGACAGGATCATACCTGTGCACCTTGGACAACACCTCTGAGGCCCAGTCACAGGGTTCACGCACGCCAGCGCAGGACACTTGATTGTGTTGCACTTCACATGGCCTGACTAAGAGAGGAGATAGGACATTTATGACATAATATCCAGTGTCCTGGCTGGTATTAAAACCCTCCTATTGGGGGAAAGTACCTCTGCGCACACGCAGCGCATGCAGAACATGTATCCAAACGGCTCCAGATAGGGATGCCAGCTTTCTCCTGGTCTGTAGGTTTTGTCTTTAAAAGTACAAACCACCCCGGAGCCTGAGTGTCACAAATGCAATTAAAATTTTCATTTCTCAGGGTAAAACAGAAATCTGCAAGCGGGTCTTCCCCAATAATCACATCCACAACAACATAACACAAGATTTATGGTTCAGATCCGAGTTGCGCCACAGTTTCGATCCAATAGTCCTACTTTTATCCGTTCCTCCCTATTTAACACTTTTACAAAATAAAAGTCAGCAGGGGAAACCGCTCTTACCTCTCCGAGGTTTCATCTCCGCGGATGCAAACAGCGTGATGAAAAAGAACAAAAACATAGGTTTCATTTTTCCCCCCAAAAAAATGTGCGTAACAGAGACTTCAGTGCGCAATACATATGCGCCTCGGTGAGACATGGAAAACTGCAGGACAGCGTGAAACAAAAATGTAGGGGAAGAACAAAAATCTAATATTGTCTTGGTTAATCTATGGCGCCTTCTTCAGGAAGCAAATTGTGATGACAGAACAGTACAGCAAGAAGAAAGGAGATTAGAAAAGAGATGCAAACTTCCTCTGAGTTAATATTTATGCACCTACAAAGATATCTGTAGTATAAATATCACAATGAGTGTCAGAACCAGTCTAAAGTGTCCAACCCTTAGCAAAAAGTAGTATACTTGAAGTAAATTCTATTAAGAATAATTAAGTATAAGTTTAGAAAGTATACCGAACAATGTACTGTTAGTGTACTTGAAGTATTACTAAAGCAATACTTCTTCAAACTAAATTGGGACATTTTTAAGTTTACTTTAGTCAACAATAAAGTAAACAATAGTATATTCAAGTACATTTGATTATACTATTAAGTATATGAAATATAGTTTAAGTGCACTGCCTGATTTTAAGTATGAAATTAGTGCAGTTTTAGTATACTTGAATAAACTACTTTTTGCTAAGGGAAACCATGACATTTTGTCATAGCATAACTTTTCTAAATCTCTCTTTCTTTCTTTTTTTGCATAAATTAGATAAAATAATGCATGTTTTCCTGTTCATTAGTTTTCATTTATCTGAATCTGAGCAAAGAAAATCCAGCTGTTATAAAAAGAGGTCTCATTTTTAGAGAGATCATAAGTGAAAGAGCATAGCAGACAGATAAGAGAGAAAGTAGTTGACAAGTTTACATCAGCATTTAGTTATAAATATGCAAAAAAGATTGAATACATATAAATATGCTCAGCTGAAAACCTACCATAACACTGCTGTCCAAGGAGAGAAATGCTAAACAGTCCCAATTCTGGAATGAGCTGCACAGGCCTGCAGATCTGCTGAGAAAGAGAATAAAATCTAGAGATGGGGAAAACCATCAATGCTCTCCACAAATCTGGACTTTATGTAAAACCACGGAGCAAAAAATTAATTGCAACTGCAAAACACTGCAAGAAGGAAAACTCTAAGGCTGGGTCCTGAGAGCACCATCTCTACTGAGAGGACCAACATGTCAAAGGGGGCAGACTTGAAGGCAGCTGTAAGGCTGTGAAACTGTGGTCCAGCCAAGTATTACTGTAGAAAACAAATCAGGCCTCTTCTCAGGTTACATTTTGAACCTTTTTTTAATGTAAACCCTACACATCAAAAGAATTACTTTGTGTTGGTCTATTAAAAAAAAAAAGTCAAAATGTTCTTTTTTGCTTTGTAAAAGGTCAATAATCTTTATTTTTTATGCATACTTGAAGTCTTGATGAAAGCCTATATTTTTTATATTTAAATTGAAAGAAAATATTAGAGTCTGGAACAGAATGAACTGTTACAAGTCAAGATCGGTTTATTAAACTAATAATTTAGAATCAGAAATGATCCAGTGCTATAATTGATCAGTAGTATGTTTTACTTTTTTATTTGGTTAACAAAGTTGTAAGCAGAGTGAAACTCTGACAAAAAGTGAGGAAATTAAAAGAATCAGGCTAATGATCCTTTTATCTGATGAAAACAACATACTAACAACATACTAGAAGAATCAGAAGAATAGTTTCTAAAGGAAAACGTCACAAATCCAACCTTTTAGACCTGACAAAATAAACTAAAGCTCTTCAGGTTTACATGCAGCTATTTGAATAAAATAAAAGGAATCTGCACCAGGTTTAGACTGCTGTGTTCCAGCTGAACTTTCAGAGTTAGCAAAACTATTGTCTTCATCTAAGCCTTCAGCTTGTGTGTTAGATCCAGTTCGAACCAGGTTATTTAAGGAAGCGTTCGTTCCCTTTGATCTCGTCCTTTATTTTAGATGTGATTAATCTAACCCTGTTACAGGGATATGGCTTTTAAGGTTGCTGTAATTAAACCTTTGCTTAAGAAACTGTCTCTTGACCCAGATGAGTTGGTCAATTATAGACCTATATCCAATTTTCCTTATCTAAAATTCTTGAGAAAGAAACAAGTGTGCGACCACTTACATCATAATGGATTTTTTTGAAGAGTTTCAGTCTGGCTATAGAGCTTATCATAGCACTAAAACAGCTCTGGTGAAAGTCGATAATATTCTCATGGCCTCAGATAATGGACTTGTATCTGTACTTGTCCTGTTAGATCTAAGTGCTGCATTCAATACAGTGGATCATAATATTATTTTAGAAAGAATGGCACTGGATTGGTTTAAATCTTTACTATGTGCTGGATTTCAATGTTCATGATAATAAATCTCTTCATGCTCCAGGGTTACCTGTGTTGTACCACAGGGATCAGTGCTAGGACCAATTCTCTTTACTATATATGCTCCCAATAGGTAGAATTATTAGACAGCATGGGATTAATTTTCACTGTTATGCTGTTGATACTCAGCTATATCTGTCTATAAATCCAGATGAAGCTAACCCATTACATAGATTACAGGCATGTCTGAAGACATAAAAACCTGCATGAATCTTAACGTTCTGCTCCTGAATGCAGACAAAACAGAAGTTATTGTCGTTGGAGCAGGGTCTTTGAAAAAGAAGCTAATTAGTCAGTCACTTCATTTTTACAGGATTAAATTAAATTGATTTCAGAAAATAAAGTAAAAAATCTTGTTTTTTTTTTTGTTTTTTTTTCTATCAGGACCTGTCATTTTAATCTCATATCAAAGAGGTTTCTAGAATTTCCTTCTTTCATCTGAGGAATACTGCTAAAATTAGAAACATCGTGTCCAGGATTGATGCTGAGAAACTAGTTCATTCATTTGTTACTTCATGGCTGGACTATTGTAATTCTTTACTATCAGGAAGTCCACAAACTGTAATTAAAAGCCTTCAGCTGATCCAAAATGCTGCAGCCAGAGTTCTGATGAAAATTAAAAAGAGAGATCATATCTCTTCTATCCTGGCTTCTCTTCGTTGGCTTTCTGTTAAATCCAGAATAGAATTTAAAATCCTCCTTCTCACATATAAAGCCTTAAATGGCCAAGCTCCATCTTATATCAGAGATCTGATTGTTCCTTATGTTCCTAATAGAGCACTTGACTCTCAATCTGCAGGTTTACTAGTGGTTCCTAGAAAAAGTAGAATGGGAGGCAGATCTTTTAGTTATCAGGCTCCTCTCCTGTGGAACCAACTACCAGTTTTAGTCCTTGAGGCAGACACCCTGTCTACTTTTAAGGCTAGGCTTAAAACTTTCCTTTTTGATAAAGCTTATAGTTAGAGGGGCTCAGGTTATCCTGAGCATCTCTATAGTTATGCTGCTATAGGCTTAGACTTCTGGAAGACATAGGGACCCCTTTTTCACAATTCTGCTTCATTCTATCTCTATTCTCCCATTGCAGAATCTGTTAGTTAAATCTGGATTTGCTCTCTCCATCCTCTGACATGGGAGCTGGCTCAGAGCTCGTCTGCCTGGCTGTGTATTCCCTGGATGGGGCTGCCTTTTATAGTTGCCTTTTGTATCTCTGCTTCCGTCTCCTTGAACCCCAGTCGGCCTCGGCAGATAACCGCTCACACTGAGCCTGGTTCTGCTGGAGGTTTCTTTTTGTTAAAAGGGAGTTTTTCCTCTCCACTGTCACTACAAGCATGTATAGTGTGAAGGGTTGCCTTTGAGTCAATATAATCAACTGGTTTTCCTTAGATAGAAAATCAATTTGACTCTATCATCTGGTGAACCGTAAAGTGCCTTGAGATGACGTGTTGTGAATTGGCGCTATATAAATAAACTGATCTGACATTCATTTTTTTGGGTGTTGGTACTATTTGTCTTCATGTATTAAACATGGAAAACTTCTTTTTGAAAAAAATAATGACAGGCATGATTTTAAGGAATAAAAAAAAAACAACTTTCAAGGCCTTGAACTAAGTTATTTAAATTCAAACACTTTCAGAGAATTCAAGGACAAGTGAGTTGTTTTACTAAAGGAAAATATGCTTGTAAACTGTTCAGGTATAATAAAGGATTCATGTTAATCACTTAATAGATAATAAAAAACACATTTTGAATACTGCAGTTATAAAGCATGCTGGGCTAAAAAAAAAAGCCAGTGCATTCAGGAGTAAAATGAACACAAAGTCCTGATACTAAGCAGCATTTATTACCACACAGAAAATAAAACAAATGTATCCTGTTTAAAAAGACATCATGAGACCAAGTTATTCCTCCTTGGTTAAAAGTCTGACTATGACGTTGAATAGGTGAAAGGTCATATGCCACCTTTTCAATGACTTAAAATGGAAAAACAAAAACGAGAAAAAACAAAACAAAAAAGCATTTACTCTTAAATCAGTGCAGGTGTGTAGAAAGAAAGCAAAACTCACATTTAAAAAGGAATCTAAAATGAGTTTTCCGAAACCAGTTTCCTCCTGTTACGGACAAATCTGCAAGGTTTAACCTTCGAAAAAGGCTCACACTCAAAAACTAAATGACAAAAAAACTAAACAAAAAAGGAATAAAGAGAAAGCGATTTGTTTCCGAAGGATCACTGTACGGGAGATATTCAAACATTTTCAACGATTTATAGCTGATACATTTTAAAATGCAGCCAAATCTGCAGAAATCTTAATAATAAAACCTTTTAGCAATTGTAAATATGCATCAGGATGACACCTAACCAAAAAACAGCTCTTTTAAGAACTACAAAGGTTAATTTTGAATGCTAAAACTGTAAATAATTTAGCTATACTGTTATGGCAGCTGAAATCTGACAGGTGGCAGAATATGACAACCTGATGTTAGGTACTCAATAATAATCAGAAACCGGACGTCCTTAACAGAGCCAGCTTCAGCTCACAGTCCTGTTCATACAGATCAGACGCCCGCCAGTCCACAATTTATACTTTAAAATATCTGAAACACAGGAAACTGCATCAACAGATGGATCAGACCATGCACACAAGGTAACACACACGCAAACACACAAAACAGGAACAGTGGAAACTCAGGAACTGCTGCTCGTTGCCCCTGTCTCGTCTTCGCGCTTCTGCCGCTTCTTCGCTCGGATTTGATTCATGGCTTCCTCTATGGAGCGCGTGTCCCTTTTGTTGGCCACGGGCACTGCGGACAA